CAATCCGATGTGTGTGTTTTATAAATGAAGCCCCTGGAGATTATTCATCAGCTCTCAGAAATGAGTCCATCATCTAATATCATACAGCATTATATTAGAAATGTCTCAGAAATGAATGTATTTTATCTTGTCATTTCTCTTCACACTGTTCATGTCTGTTTATTTCCACAGTCACTTTCACCAACATGAATCCCAAGACCAGGAACGACTTCCTACAATGTGAGTCACTAGAAAACAAGCAGAAAAACTCACTGAATGTGTTCATGTTCTTCCTGTAGAAGGAGAAATAAATCATGATAGAAGAGTTTTATAATTGATCATGTAAATGATGATTTGCTCAGGATATTTGGTCATCTGTACTGAGACACTGATGATACACTGAACATTGATTCATGAAGAGTTCAGAGACATTAAAAGATCAGACAGATTCATAATTCCTGTTTCTGATGTGTTTTCTCTCCATCAGATTCCCATCAGCTCACTCTGGATCTGAACACAGTGAATAAACTCCTCCGTCTGTCTGAGAGGAACAGAGTTATTACTTACACTGGCACAGAGCAGCCGTATCCTGATCATCCAGACAGATTTGAGTGTTGGTCTCAGGTGTTGTGTAGAGAGAGTGTGTGTGGACGCTGTTACTGGGAGATTGAGTGGACTGGAGATGATGGTGTGTTTATATCAGTGTCATATAAGAGCATCAGCAGGAAGGGATCGGGTGATGAGTGTTTGTTTGGAGGTAATGATCAGTCCTGGAGTTTGGACTGCTCTTCCTCCAGTTACACATTCTGGCACAATAAGAAACGCACTCCTCTCCCTGTAAAGTCCATCAGCAGAAGAATAGGAGTGTGTGTGGATCACAGTGCAGGAACTCTGTCCTTCTACAGCGTCTCTGACACAATGAGCCTCATCCACACAGTCCAGACCACATTCACTCAGCCGCTCTATCCTGGGTTTAGGGTTTATTCTGGATCAGTGAAACTGTGTTGATGTTTCAGAACAGATATAGAGAGATTTTACCCATAATACTTTGAGCCGCACGATAAATCAGTGACAGTGAGATGTTATAGAGACTCTTATTTCCTCTTCATTACATTAATACTGATGAACTTCACTGAAATAAAACAGAATAAATGTGTGTATCAAATCCTCACAGAGACAGTAAGATCAGTGTGTGTGTGTGTGTGTGTGTGTGTGCTTTTCTCAAACTGTTTTGATGAAAATCTCATTCATTTTTATTGATGTAAATAAATTGAAATAAATGTTCAATATCTTCAAGTGATGTGTTACAAAAAGTACATTTATCATAAATATGAATATTATTTCTACTAATGGCTGCATTTACAGGAAAACAAAAAAATAATTTTGTACATTACTTCTTTTAAATAATTAGAAGTAACATATTTATAGGGTAATGTCCAAATGCTGTGCCAAGATATACAATAAGGTTTAAGCCATTTTGATTTACATGGAGGACTGGATCCGACATACAGAATTTCTTATAAAATTGTTATTAAAACCTTTATCAAATAAGAAGAGATCATTTACAACAAGTTGAGATTTTGCAAGGTTGTATTATTAATATCTACGTCTGGGAATTTGGTTAAGATTATTATGCCATTAGATAGCCTTCATTACGTTGTTAAATTATTTTTTTATTTACAAATAAACCATATTTTGAAATAAAATGTGGTTATGTGTAAAATTGCTTATTCTTGTCAATAAGCTGGTTTACAATTAAAATATTGTGCCGAACCCAATTCTCCATGTACAATGACTTCTTATTATGAATTATATACCATTGCTCCATATAAAACATTGTGTTTGTACAAAAGTGACCAGAACAGTAATGTGTGTTTGTGATAATTGACCAAAGCAATTGGAAGTTTATCAGTTATATAAGGACACTGTGTAATTCCCCAAGTCTTTTTTAATATACTTGTATGATTTTTTTTTATCCTTCGGGGAACGAAGTGAAGAGAAAAGGTTTACGCTGCTCTCGAAAGACCTTCTGCCACTCAATAGAGTTCTCCCTCGAATAGAAAGATCTCTTGTTAACCATGAGTTATATTTCTTTTGTGTTTTTTCAATATCAGGCCTGAAATTAGAGTTGACCATTATATCAGTGGTTAGAGATTTTAATTCCCAAATAGGCCACCATACTTTTAACAGGAATGTTACACACAGTGGATAGGCTGTTGTTTTTAAGTTGTAAGATCTCACATTTAGACAAATTTAAAATCAATCCAGAGAATTTTGAGAAATTATTAATCATATTCAGAGCCAAAGGTCCCTCAGATCTGTCACCAAGAGAGATTGTCGTGTCATCAGCAAGTTGCGATATTTTAATTTGTCTTTCATGAATTTCAGTTCCTTTAAAGCGGTGTTGGTCTATCATATTACTCAACACTTGAGCTAAACTAAAAAAAGGAATGCAGAAATTGGACGGCCTTGTCGGACGCCTCGGTTTATTTCAAATCTGGAGATGTTCCGTTAGCAAGTTTAATAGAGCTATTATTACCATAGTACATATAGTTTTTACACTTTTTATGAAATATTGCCCGAAACCAAACCAAAGAGTTTTGAGGAATCAAATATAGACTTATGGCTTACTGTATCAAAAGCTTTTTTTAAATCTAGAAAAAGTCAAATAAAAGTTTTAAGAAGAATTTAATTAAAGTAACAATGTCATTTATTTTTAACGTTCTAATAGGCACATTTCTGCATTACTTTTCTCGAGAGTAAACAAGTACTTTCACCTTCTTCCAGACATTTTCTTCTAGATCTTACAAAAGCACCTTTGGCTTTTTCTTGATAAATATTGTCTAATTCTTTCTGCTAATTTTCTAAAACATCATTATTGGATCGGTGGGTAGATGTTTGAGTTAAATTTGAAATCTCTCTAATTATGTCTTGAATACCTGTTCTTTTTTCCATAGCCAATTTTTTTCCAAATTGAATGCTACATTTTTTTACTTCAAACTTTCAAGCCGACATTCAGCTGTTAATTATTTGACTGTAAATTTACAGTAAATTGCAGGTTACCAGTTGCATGACTTTCATAGTAAGATACTGTATTATTTTTACAGTAAATAGAAATGACAGCTGTATACTGTTTGTACCAAGGTAACTTCTCCTTCAAGCAAAGGGGATCAAAAACTGAATACAATGTACTCACAAAAAAGAAAAAAAAGAAAGAAAAACTCACATCTCACAAAAATACGAGTTATTGACAAATAAACCAATATAACAATAATATATAGTCAAATAAAATACATTGTAGAACAAGAATTCCTTCCCTCTCCAATGATGTTAATACCCCTCTATAAACTCCAATACAATCCCAACTTCGTCACACAGAGCAATTTAAAATAAAGCAAAAGAGTAAATTACACAAATAACCCCAAAATCATATTACATAAAAGTATAACAAACTCAAATATACTCCAAACCAAAAATGAATTCCGCTGCAAACTTAAGTCTCATGCAAATCAAGTCCATGTGTTCTAAAGCATCAATAATATATTGACTCTTTTGACAAAGCGTCTATATCCAACGCACATGGCACCTTTTAGCGTCATATGAGACGCAGATATATGGCGCCTCCTAGTGGTCTAACCCTAACACTACCCCAGACCTAAACCTACCCAAAACCGAAGCGTGTTACATTGACGCTAAAGGGTGCCATGTCCGTTGGATATAGACGCTTTGTCAAAAGAGTCAATATATTACGCTTTGGGATGAGAATGCGTTGGCTGGCAACACGAGGCTGGGAAGAAGTGATGTACACAAAAAAACAAAACAAAAAATCAAAACTCCCCGCTAGCCAGTCTGATTCACAACATCCAGAACTCCTTGCGCTGTGTTGGCTGGAGGCATGCAGGGACTGGCTAGCTGGGGAATCAAACTAAAGAAAATACATGGGAACAGCGATCAACTAAACCTAATACAAAAAAAAATACAAAAATACAATTTACAATACACAAAATTAACCACAAAACGTATTTTGTTTACTTTAATCTCATTAGAAAAATAAAATCAAGACACTTCAAAGCACTGTATAAAAACCTCACATTAGCTGCGACACAGCCACAAACCCTGGACTAACTTCCAAGATAGGAACGGGCGTGACCAAATGACCTACAAATACACAATGTTTGCGTCTGCATTAAAAACTATTCCCTAATTAGTAAAACAAGGCTTCATAAATAGGAAACAAAACAATCATTATTTATTTAGCCTACCTGCTCATCAGACCGATCATGCACAAACCAACATGGACATGTCACCGGACAGCACGATGTTTGTGTCTGCATTTAAAACATCTAATTCAGTGAAAAAAAGCTTTGTAAACATAAAACAAAACAGCCAATATTCGCTTGGCCTCTCTGCTCAACGGCTGCCTCCGGTGATTCCTTACAGATAGGCATTAGCATACAGACACACATGTATATATTTAAGAAAAATGTGTTATTCATATATAAAATATTTATATATAATCTAAAGTATGTATAAATATACAGTATATGCAAATTTTTCTTAAATATATACATGCATATGTGCATATTTATATATACAAAATAATTATACACAGTACACACACGTAAACACAAACTTTTATTTTGGATGTGATTAACTGTTGCCAGCCCTAAAAAAAAAAATGCTACAAATATTTTAAGAAGTTGTTTTTGTGAAACTTGGTAATAAAGAATGGAATATTTTCATCCTTTTTCAATTTATGTAAAAATAGTATAATTATCTTGTTTAAATGTTTTGTGACATCAAAAAAGGCACTTGGTAAAAAGAAATCTAAATAAAAGTCAGATAAATTTACCGAAAATGTGAAATCAAAGATATTATATTACTATTATTTTTGTCATGTACATAAAATTTGCATTTAGCAATAGATTGCAATATATTTAATACGTTTTATTTGAATTTTTCTTTTCACAAATTGCATATCACAGTCTTACACTCTTGCACATCACAGTCTTACACTCTTGCACATGTGGTTCCATGAAGAACCTTTAACATCTTTCCATTCCAGGTTCTTTATAGCAGAAAATGGTTCTTCAGATTATTAAAATGATCTTCACAATAAGAAAATGGCATTGCTGCAAAAAATCCCCTTTTGGAGGCTTTATTCTCAAGAGTGTATTCAGTATAATGTACAGTACAGTAACTAAAAAGGAAAACTATTGGCTTATCTATATTTTAATATTTCTAATGAAACATGCAGAAGTTATGAAAGCCTGATCATCTCATGTACAGGCCTATATATACTCATGGGAACCAAGACTTGAACAGTGATATCAGAAACACAATAACAGTGGTTACGTACAGCAAAAAGAAGATCACATCTATTATTGTGGCCACTCTGGTCCAGCACAGGGGTTTCCTCTCTTGTTGGTTTTGATGAGCAACAGCCTGAAACTCCACGAGGATCTGCTTCAGGACGGTAAGAGTGTACGGCCGCTCTTCAATGCTGTCGGCAACTGAGTCTGAAGGGCCCTTTGTGTCCTTTACGGTATCTGTGAGAGGAATTAGACATGTTTATGTCGTAACATAAGATGTTTTGTGGATCAGTTTCTTTTGAAGAACTCATAAAAGTACATTTTTCCCTGCCAGCTGCAAAAAGTTCTGATATAGAGATCTCATATAGCATTTAAAGCTCATGAACAATAAGTTCAGGGAGCAAATATGCCAACATCCAAATCACATTGGGATGAATAATGGGAATGTGCATGGATAACTAACTAATAAATTACCCCTCATTATTAGATGTTGGGTAAATATGTACCAGAAAGAGCAGATGTGCTTTCCATTGCTGCCACTGAAACTGTCTGATTTCCTTTAGCCATCAGAAAATTCACAAAAATAGTCTCCAGAACACTGATGCCCATGACAGCGAAGATGACAACACAATAAATCCCTGAAAAACATTTTTTTTTTTTTTATAATTATAATACAAATACAAAGTTGAATATTTTTTTTAAAGCAGTAGCAGTTCACCACACTAAAAAGCAGTAATATTGTGAAATATTACAATTTAAAAGAACTGTTTTCAATTTTATTCTGAAATAGATAGGCTACAGTGTCACATGATCCTTCAGAAATAATCAGAATATGCTGATTTGCTACACATACAGTAGATAAGAGTAAAGTAACCCACCAATCAGTGGGATGCAACTGGCAGTGGAGGGCAGCATGTCTTTAAGAAGCAGCAGTAACACAGAAATAGACAGAAGCAAAGTTACTTTAAACCCAAGCTTCTCTCCTCCACTTGAATCGATGAAGAAGGAGGCCACATCCAGCACAAGGAAGCAAAATACTGGCATCAGAAAAATAATGACATACAGTAAAGGTCTCCTCCTTATGGTGATCTGCAAGAACAGAAACTTCTTTAAATGCTTTATCAGAGCAGCTTTACATTAACATTGGAGACTGGAGCCAGTTCTTACAAGGTCTGTATCTTTTCTGTCAAAAGTTCTGTTACTAAAAAACTTGTTTTCTCTAGCAGTGGTTTTCGTATTTTGCAATAGCTGTTAAATGAATGCTATGAAGTTATACTGAGATCTGAAAGGTGAAAAAGTATACTTTAGCTAACTTTTAAAGATCGAAATAATATACGTTGAAAGAATATACTTAAGTGTGATCTGAATGTAATGATTTTGGAAACCTAACTGCGTGTTATTTACCAGTTAAATGACAATGTTGTCAGGGAATATACCAGACTCAAAGGCAGTTATCAGGAGAAAAGACAACACAGGTTTGTTGAGCATCAGCGCTGTACAAGCCGGTGTACAAGTGTCATTGTGTCCAAGTGTCTTTATCATGTCTTTAATAACTTTTGGGCCGGCCAGTTTCGATCCCTTAAGAAGCCTATGGAGGAGTGATCCAGCTCTCAGATTTAATCTAAAATATCTTAATTTGTGTTCCGAAGATGAATGAAAGTCTTACGGGGTTGGAACAACATGAGGGAGAGTAATTACTGACAGAATCTTCATTTTGGGGTGAACTAACCCTTTAAAGAAGGAAGACCAGGAAAAGGCCCTTCTTAAACTTGATCAGGTGGAAATGAAGGATGATCTAGAAAGGCGCCTCGGGATTAACTCCATGTGTATGGAGTTTTGATTTATTTGTCATTTGAGAATTATTGTTTTATGTGTGCCTGCATAACTTTTATAAAATTTATTTTCTTTGGTTTGATTTTGTTTTATATAATTTATTTATTTTATTTCGATTTTTGTATTTTTATTTAATTACTATTATTTATTTGGAGCAGGTACAGATAGTGTGTGATGCTTTTGCGATTTCAGAGGGAAAAACACATTTGATTTAAATTAATCATTTTTGTTTTTTTTCAGTCCATCATAGAATTATGTTGTGTTTGGTCTATGAAAAAAAACTGTTAGCTGTGCAATGGTTGAGTATTACAAATGCTTTTCAATTGAATCAAATGTTCAAACGCTCAAGCTTTGTTTTCATTGTATTATTTTTTTTTGTTTTAAGCTTTGTTCAATTTATATTGTTAATCATTTCACACAACAAAACAAATGGTATAATTTTAACTTTTAAAAAACTATTAACATGCATTTATAGTAGTATATTGTCTTTTGTTAGGACAAAACATAATTCTTATCTTTTATAATATTTGATATATATATATATATAGGTGTAAATCGGACAGTTAATCACAATATTATACGATATCGATTTTTTCAGCCAGCGATACGATATTTGCCAATACCTCAAAACATTTGACGATACAATTACGATTGAATTCAATTCAGGGCTATATCGATCGATTAATCAATATTTAGATTTTATGTGCCAAGTGTACACAACCAGTTACGTTTATTAACTCACAATACATCCAAATATATAACTGTGGAGTAATGGGTTTTATTATGAAAGGGGGTTTTATTATGAAGCGTCTAAGAGGAAGTACCAGAACTACTAGGTGCTCGGGGGTTCATGTGGGGAATGTGAGTTTGGAATGATGCATGAATAAATGCTGTTCAGTTGCTCTACAATGTGTCGCTTGAATCTATGCCCAATAATACGACATGGTGTCAGAAGTCGGGCGGCAGTAAGAGCTTAATCGCCGGGGAGTGAAAGTAAGCTGTTCTGGGAGTGAAAAAGACTTTATCTGGAGAAAAAGATGTCGGATACAGAGGAAGCGGGAGCTAGCGCACCGCATACGCAGCCTCGCATGCTACAGCCCCAGCTACAAGTAAACAGCGGCAATAATGCTAACGCTAATCCAACCCCGAACGCCACATTCACCATTCAGCCTCCCGAAGCGTTTGATTTTTCTAAGCCTCAGCAATGGGAGAAGTGGATACGGAGATTTGAAAGATTCCGTCTAGCCAGCAATCTGCAACTTAGCTCTGAGGCTAACCAGGTAAACACGCTCATCTACTGTATGGGGGATGAAGCGGACGACATTCTTCGAGGTCAAGCTTTATCGGACCCCAGCCAGCACAGCCATGTGGGGCCCACATGGGTTTGACGTGGGCTATCTAACTGGGACCCAGACAGTTTTGCTCCCGGTTTCCATGTAGGCCCCACATGGGTTTGCCCAGATAAAATGAACACTGCTCAGTGTGCACACTACAGGCTGTTAAATGTAACACTGATCAGTGTTGGAGTTAATGAGATAATTAAGTGATTGAATATGATTGAGCATTATTGAACACACCTAAAGCAGAATCACTGAAGGAGAAAATTGTTAGCCACCGTTATGGCGATCATTGTTTGCTTTAGTTGGGCTCTTGACCCTTATATTATTAACTTTAGATTTTGTTTGGCTGTTGTTTCTGACTTATAACTGCCAGATGAACAAAAAAAAAAGTCATGTAATGGTGTTGGTTATATTATGACAGTCATGGTTTGAACATAATCATGCTGTGATCTGAAAAATGAAACTTATTGAGATGATCTGGTTTAACTTGTTAGCAACAGCTTTGTGATTATACAGCAAATGATTATCAGTATTTTTTTTATCCAAAATATTTCATTCAACATTGTTCTGATCAAAACACTTTCAAATAAAATTATTTAGAAACACATCAATAATCAGTCTGTGAATCTCAACAATGGTAACAATAATAATGCATGTTGCAGTGGCTGCCACCAATCACAACTCATTAATGGCTCCCATCATGCATTGCGGTATGAATAAATTATGATCTGAATTGTCTATGTAATTTACTTTTCCTAGTTGAATATTCTGCTCGTCACCATTGTTGAGATGCATTGACTGAATCTTGACGTCTGTGTGTGCCTAAAAGAAAGATTTTTTTTAAAATAACTTTTAAGAAATCCTTTATATTATATCTAAAATTCTGGAAATTTATGCAGAATCACAGTTACGCTATAAGCAACAGCATAAATCACTAAACATAAGGTTCAAACGATGACTGTCATAATATAACCAACACCATTACATCACTTTTTTTTTTTTTTTTTTTATCTGGCAGTTATAAGTCAGAAACAACAGCCAAACAAAATCTAAAGTTAATAATATAAGGGTCAAGAGCCCAACTAAAGCAAACAATGATCGCCATAACGGTGGCTTACAATTTTCTCCTTCAGTGATTCTGCTTTAGGTGTGTTCAATAATGCTCAATCATATTCAATCACTTAATGATCTCATTAACTCCAACACTGATCAGTGTTACATTTAACAGCCTGTAGTGTGCACACTGAGCAGTGTTCATTTCATCTGGGCAAACCCATGTGGGGCCTACATGGAAACCGGGAGCAAAACTGGCTGGGTCCCAGTTAGATAGCCCACGTCAAACCCATGTGGGCCCCACATGGCTGTGCTGGCTGGGACGTGCAGAGACAACAGTACCAAGCGGTAAGAGACACTTTGGACATATATTTCGTGCCCAGGAAAAACATTATCTACGAAAGAGCCCGGTTTAATCAAAGAGCGCAGCTAGCTAATGAGATTGTTGACTCGTTTGCTTTATGCTTTGGCGGAAAACTGCAACTACAGGGCACTGCACGATGAGTTAATAAGAGATTGCCTCGTCGTGGGACTCAGAGACACTAGCTTAGCTGAGAGATTACAAATGGACAAGGATTTGACGCTGGAGAAGGCAGTAAATCAAGCCCGGCAGTCAGAAGTCATAAAAAGGCAACAAAATGACATCAGCGGTGAAAGCAACACGGAAATAGATGCTGTGTCAGTGAAATATAGAAAACAACAGCATCCAAAACAACAGTATCCAAAATACAAGTCTCCAAGTCAACCAAAATACTCAACAAAGTCCAAAACACCAAATGAGAGATCCTGCTACAGATGTGGTAAAACACCTGCACATGCTAAAGTTCAATGTCCAGCAAAAGATGAGACCTGTCACACTTGTGGTAAAAGAGGACATTACAGTAAGGTGTGTAAGCCTGTTAAATCCATGCATGTGATAGAAACAGAGGAATATAATGACACACCCATGTTCCTTGGTTCTGTGGACGCAGGTTCAGATCCTTGGTATGCAGATCTTACCATCAGAAACCACAAAGTCAGATTTAAGATAGACACTGGAGCGGATGTTTCAGTTATCCCAGCCCAGATGTACTACAGTATAAATCACAATGTGGCAGAGTTATGCAAACCAAACAGACCATTGTTTGGACCTGGGCGCACTCCTCTCAATGTATTGGGTATGTGCAGAGAAACATTGTGCAAAGGTGCGTATATGCACCTTTGCGTATATGTATATGTATATGTATAAAACGTATGTATAAAACGTATATGTATATGTTATCAAAGATTTGCACATAGCGCTGTTGAGCAGGCCAGCAAGTGTCAAGCTAAACCTTGTGTCTAGAGCAGATAGCATAGACATGAAAGTGTTAAATGAGAAATACCCAAAGCTGTGTCAGGGTTTGGGGTTAATGCAGCAACCTTATACTATTAAGCTAAAACCTGACGCTGTTCCCTTTTCCCTGGCCACACCAAGACGTGTCCCCATTCCTTTGTTGGGAAAAGTGAAACAGGAACTGGAAAAAATGGAGTCCATGGGAGTAATCAGTAGAGTTGAAGAGCCAACTAAATGGTGCTCAGGTATGGTCCCAGTGCCAACCAAAAATGACTCAGTGCGCATTTGTGTGGACCTCACTCAGGTCCATTTGCAACGTTTATTAAAGGAGAGTAGTCAAATAGGAAAAGGGGTCAGGCACTGGCAAGATCAACAACAGAACAGGCTCACACTTGTCAAATCCAGGCGGAGGGTCAGGGCTGGCAGCGAGAAGAAGTAAATCCAGGGATGAAGCAGAGGGTCGAGAGGCAGGCAGCAGAAAATGGGAGGATCAAGTCAGGGGAGGTCAAACACAGGCAGTCAGAATACAGGAATAACGCTCAGAATGTTCACAGAGGAAACGAGACTTCGCACTGTTTGTGATGTGAGTGAGGCTTATATGATGGTAGGTAACAAGGGCCGTTTCTCAATATGCGTTCTTGTCTGTACTTGTGTTCTTATGGACTTGTGAAACGTCATCAGTCACTGCCCAAGTACTGTTCCAATTCAAAGTTCACATCTAGCCAAGTCCAGTTCAAATCCCCGGATGTGTTCTTGATCCGCCCCGTTTACCGAGGATGCATCGAGAGGTGACTTGTGCGGACTTGAGACCATCGACATAATAAATACATAGACGCCCTATTGGCCGCTGGAGCGTACGTCATCGGCGCCGCCATATTGGGGATGGCAACTTTCCCATACCTCTCATACCGGGAATTGAGAAAAATGCATGTTTTGTGCGCTGCTTAGGGCTGTTCACATCGCCACACAATTGAAAACAGCTTTCGAGGAATTACCTTTCA